AGCTCTGCAGGGAAAAGCACTGAATACCCCCAGCAGAATGGCTTACTTCTCTCAGGGAAAATCCTGCTCCTTCCTCTCCAGAATTCAAGTTCATTCTTTTAGTAGGTGTTTCCCAAGTGCTGTCCTTAAATATAGATTGAGAAGACAATCTTCTACTGCTAAAGAATCACTTGCTTCTACAGTTTAATCTCTCACACTTTCAGCTGATGTTGGCAGGAAAACTGGCTCCTGGGGCTTTGACAGGAAGAGGCAGATTGCTGTTTATAGACCCCTTTGGCTTTTCAATGTTAATTTACCCAATAGTTGAGTTCTGATAATTGACATCACCAGTGTTGATTCAGCAGCTTTAATCTGGCTCATAGGCCACCTGCAAACTTGGATTTTAAATAAAAAACAAACCCCTTTACTACTGCTGCCTGATATAATATTTCAGGAGACCTTTTACCTATCATATCATTTAAAGGCTCAATACTGGTTCAGAGATTTGGAAATACACCTGAACCTCAAATCTTCAATTCTAAAGTATTACCTTAAAGCACCAAAAAGGGGGGTAAATCCCACCACAGCCCTGCTATTGTCACTTTTGCCTTTAGTAAGTCTTTAACCTTAAACCTAATTTTGGAATTTTTTTTTGATTTTTTTTTTTGCTTTGTCCCTCCATGCCCAACTAATTTGAGCACATAAACCCTAGTTCTTCTTATTTAATCCTTATGGAGACATAGCAAATCATTCTTTTAACCACACTATACATTGAGGAAAAATTACATTTGATGGGACTATCAAAAATCCATAACTGAAGCCAGAAGATACTGCAATACCAAGTTCCAAATTTCTCTTGGGGTGGGAGAATTAAACGTAATCACTAATTCTGGGGGCTTTTTCCAACATTAAATTCGGAACTAGAGCTATTCTCTCATCCTGTGGTTTGGCTACTTATTTACTATGACCAATGACATTGAACCACAACTACAGTGTAGCTGTGGCCGAACCTGACCAAGAGTTGATCTTCATTTTTATACATCCAGACAAGAAGCAAATGGATGGAAAAGCTGAGTTCAGTATTACACAACTGGAAACCTTCTTTGACCATACAGCAGATTTCACTAAAAAGATACAAGTTTACTATGTAAAAACCTGTTGTTTGTACGTAAAGTTCATTTCTGAAAACAAGACTCAGACTTGTTTTTACTTCCTTTGCTTCTATTTTAGTCAGGCATTTTAGACACATTATTGTTTATCACAGTGTAGCATCTGAGTGGAAATTCTCAGCAATCAATGCCTCTAGGCATATATTCATAGTGAGAAGGGACAGTCATTGCCTCCTATTTATAAAGTCAGAGATGGATCCCCTGTCAGAACCCTCAAATTAAAACATTTGACTGCTACGGTATCTAATCCCTTTCTGGGGTGCTGTGATGAGATCTCCTCAAACTACCACTGAGAAAAAAATAAAAGGCTACAAGAAGTTACTGCTCAATCAGGTGTAAATCAATTCTTGCAAGTTAAACACATAACCACACACTCCAGTCTAGACAGACTCTGGAGGAAAACTAATGAGCTATACATAAAATGTACACCAGGAAAAAGCTACACGGTGACACCGCTGAAAACTTCACGGGATAGGCAGGCTGTGTGCTACTTGGATGACACAAGACAACCATTAATTAGTCCTAAGCAGCCAGTTAAGTCAGGCTTGTGACTTTTCTGCACAGTGATGACCTGATGATAAGCACCAGGGACTGGGGAAACACAGGGAGAAGACACACACTTAACAGATTATTCTCTACAACTCTGTATAGCCCTGGACAAACCCCTCAGCATTTACTTATAGTAGATGCCCAAGGAGAAGGCCTTCAGTGGAATTTATATCAAATGACCTCAGAGCAGAATCTATAAGATTTAACTAGGATTAAGAATTTTTTTTTTTTTTTGCACCCCAGTAAACTGTTTTGTACAGAACTTGTGTTAAGCCAAAAGTATTACATTCCATGCTCAGAATGAGCACCTGCCTTCTTTTTCCCCCCCCCGTCCAGTATTGTGGCAAAAAGAGCAATGCACTATAGAAAAATTGAATTTTTTTTAGGTTGGAAAAGACCCTTAAGATCACTGAATGCAACCATTAACCTAACACTAGCACTAAACCGTGTCTGTAAGCACCACATCTACACACCATGAGAATGCTGACTCTTCATATAAAATCCTTACATTCAGCTCACACCTCTCAGAATCAACTGCCTGCTCTAAACCAATTTATCCTAAAACAAGAATCATGGAATGACTTGGTTTGGAAGGGACCTTAAAGATTATCTAGTTCCAACCCCCCTCATGACAGGTACCCCTTCCATGAGATCAGGTTACTCAGAGTCTCCAACCTGACCCTGAACACTTCCAGGGACGAGGCATCCATAACTTCTCTGGCAATCTGTTTCAGTACCTCTCCACCCTCACAGCAAAGAATTTCTTCCCAATATCAAATCTAAACCTACCCTCTTTCAGTTTAAAGCCATTCCCCCTTACCCTGTCACTACATGCCCTGTAAAAAGTCCCTTTCCAGCTCTCTTGTAGGCCCCCTTTAGGTACTGGCAGACCTTACTGCTGTAAGGTCTCCCCAGAGCCATCTCTGGGTAAGCAAAATAAAGCCTTTCACTTTTCTTTTAATTATGCTATTGATTTACGAATATGTCTCTTACAGCCATATTCAGGAAATACAAACCAAACAGGACATCATAGAAGATTAATACAGAACTTATTAATTAAAATGTGAAATGTCAGTATTTGTAGCCCAATCTTCAGAAAAACTGAGCTTTTGCTGCTGCTGAAGTCACTGGAAGTGATGTATTCACATCACTCCTAAACTAAAAATAAAATCTCACTATGAGTTTCTAAAATATTTCAAGATCTTTGGATATGTATTACATAAATGAAGCTAATTATTAAAATATTCGCCATTTTAAAATATGCAAAACACCTGCAAATAAGTCTTTAGATCTTCTTTGCACCAAAAGAGAGAATGGGATTTGCTTTCCTCAGTAATGAGGAGAAAAGTGATGTTCAAAAAGAGTGTAGCAGCCACCTGCTAGAGTCATTACAATTACACAGTTGTTAATTACGTGGTACTGACAAATTATTCTGAAGAGCTTCAGGGCTTACAGTTGTGCAAAACAGGGTGAGAGGTTTAGGGCAGGAGTGAAACCAAACCTGAAGTTTTTCTGCACCTTCTGAAGCTTTTTTTTTTTTTTAAGCGGAATCAAGTCTAAATTTTGCTTGTTAATACGCAGGAGAAATGTGCATAAAAACAAGTAACTCTGAAAGCAGTATGCAAGCTAAGAGACTTCCCAACAAACAAAGAGCAGGGGAAAAAAACCCCGGCTGGCAGCAGCTCTGATCTTCTAAGTTCTATGGCAGCAAAATTTCCTGCTTCCTTTCCCTGTAATGTCTGACTATATATTTCTGTTACAGACTGCTTTCAGTCACGGTTCAGACACTGATTACAACAAACTAAGTGCTGTCTGGCTTGTGGTACAGATTCCATCTGCTTTGCACCATCAGGATAAAGTTAAGATAGCAAAACAATCACTCATTTGCAGAAATTGTATATAGTCACCTGTTAAGTAATGTTTGTCTGTCTACATGTAAGACCAGACACTACTGATTAATGGTAGAACACCATTCTTCCTTATAACCCCTCCCTAGGACCAGCAGCACTGAAAAAGTACAGCTGGAGTAGCAGAGGACAAGCTCTGCCTCAAAGTATATTCTGAAATGCCATCTATTCTCCCTCACTGGTCCAACAACTTGTTTTAGGGTGCAGTGAAACAGGAGGGTCTCGGTGCACCGTGCACCCTGGTATTAGAAAGAACTGCAGCAGCAGTTTTATAAATAACAGCCAAAACAAAACCCAACAACCCGCAAAGAGCAAACAGCAGTTCTTTACACAAATCAGTAGACGTGGGTTTAGCCTGGAGCATAAATCCTAAACTGTAATTTGTATAAGAAAATAGGTTTTTTTAATCTTTTCCTCAGCAATTCACCGTCAGAGAGAACAGAGCACCTTGAAGTTCTCTTAATGTCTCAGGTAAATTTTCATGCAGAAATTTTAGTTCCGCTAGCATAGGAATACATTTCATTTGGAGTGCTTGTACAACAGTGGACTGCAGCAGTTGTGGTAAAGTCCTAGTGTGCAAATCCTGAAGAGACATGAATATTTCACATCAAAAACTCTTGTGATGTAACTAACAAATCAGCACAACATTCTGGCATTTGCTGCTTGCAAGGAGATGGATCAATACCCCTCTATGGCCATACATCATAAGTACTTACAGCAAGGTTAACAAGAAACAGATCTCTGTATCTTGCTGAAGATTACTGTATGCACCTTTAGTTATCTCAGTGGCAGAGATCACAAGGAGATGAAGGATTAATATGTCATAGACAATTTCTTCAAAACAGCTTGAAGGGGAGAGTCCAGCCAACTTGATTCCTGTGCTTTTGCTTGGTAGTTGCTTTCAAGGTAGAAGACCATGGAAAATTCTTGTATTTAGCAATTATTTTGTAGCTTTGAGTGGTAATATCTGTTATTAAAACTAATTTCTTTATTATTAAGCCTCAAACAAGATAGATCAAGCATCACTAACAGTCAAAATTATTTTAACTGCATTTACAGTAAGTGAAAGGGTTTTTTTTTCCTTTTATTTTGTATCAAAAGTCAAGGATTACAAATTGTATTAACAAGCAGACACAGCAGCTAGATTTTTTTTTTTTTTCCTTTCTAGACCTCACCTGTTAAGTGGAAAATCCCAAGTATGTGTACTAGAGCATGCACTTACAATAAATGTGGTTTGAGGTTACTTAGGCATGTCTGTTTGCATTAGGGTCATACCTGGAAACCAAAAGCTGGATTTTGTTGGGCCTTGCACTGCAGGCAGCAGACTGTCAGAGACAGAGAAAGCTTGCACAAAGTTAACCAGCAGGTCAGAGGCAGCAGGAAGCTCATAACTCACCTGTATCACATCACAGCTTCTCTCTGCTGGATATCATGGCCTTCTACCATTCATCCACACAGAGGTTAAGTTGATTGTGAGCATTTAATCCATCCAGCCAAGAGCATCAGCCTTCAGGAGAGTGGTCAAGGCAGCAGTACTGTTGATTAGGACAAGATAATCTGTAATATGTTAACAGTTGCCTGCACCAAAGCCTTAATATTTCCCCCCCAGTTTTTCTGTCTGAAGTTCACTACAGTCCTGATGACACGTTTGATGCACCTTTTCTGACCATAACAAATGAAGATTCAAAGTAAGATTCTTGGTATCTTCGATTAATTTAAGGGGAGCAGGAAACAGAAGAGGGGCAGAAAGACCAAGAATGAGTTTTGATTTTAAGTTACATCATAGAGAAAATTCCTGGACCTAGAATGAGATTTACATGAAACACAGCACTTTGATTCTATTTATAGTTTGTTCTGACACTTTCCCGCACCACAAAAATATAACATAAACATAAACACATTGACAGAAAGACCAGATTTACCTCTAGACAGAAACATTTGTACTCTGAAGGAACAATCACCACAGTATCCATGGCATTCCAGTCCTCCCCGGCTCAGGCCAATTGCCTCCCACAGCCACGGCAGCCATCACCTCCCACACGGCCTCGGGCGGGAGCAGTGAGCCTGGACAGGAGGAACGGGGCTTGCTGTGTGGGCAGGGACATATGCTGAAGAAACTCCCATGCAGTGAGGATATAAAAGACAGCAAAGACTTACCCAGTGTGTCCTTTCTGGCTACGGCCACTGCAGCAGGGCAGCTCTGCCGCCGGCCTGCACCACCACAGCACGGCTGGTGCCCCCTCAGGGCGCCTTGCCCGGCACGGAGGGAGAGCCGGGCTCCTTCGCCTCGCAGGTACTTCCCCAGCCCTCAGCTCCCTCACAGCACACCCCGTCCCGAGGCTCCCCCTCAGAGGGGCAGCACGAGGGGCTCTCTCCCGGCCCGGGGCTGGTCCCACAGCCTCCCAGGGCGGCACTCCTCCGCACGGGACCTGACCCGGGGCTGCCCCACGCCAGACTGAGCTCTCCAGCAGCCCCAGCTCGTTTTTCACCCCAAGCACAGGTGTAGCCAATCTCAAGTCACCCCCACACTCATTCACCCTCACTAGCAACAGGCTTTGTATTGGTTTTTTATTTATCTGCATATCATCCACGCAGGCAGATATGGCATTTCCCTCAGTTCTGGTTTATAACTGGAGAAATACGGTCTGTCCGAAGCCTTCCCGTTTCACCTCTGTGATCATTCTGTAGCTGACTGTTCAGCTACCAGAGTTTTATGATTTTTTTAGACCATACCTGTTTCCTCAGCATCCTCTTTTCTGTGACTGAAACCCCTGTGTCTGCCCACTCATCTGTTACAGCTTTAAAAACATTTAGAAAGAATACAGGGAAAAACACAAACTTGGCAGAGGTTCAAGAATACAGCTTAAGAAGCAACATATTTGGACACTAAATACTAGGAAATCAATGTAAGTAATCAAGTATCACAAAGGCAAGTATCTAGTGGAAGAAAAAATAGTAAAACATTAAATAGAGAAAACAGGCATCGTTGGCTACAGCAAGAGGAAAAGCCCCACAAAATTTAATAAGTACATAAAGCATACATGTTTCAAAAATGTTAAATCTCAGTTAATAATAATCATTCACTGAATGTCAACTTTAAGTTCATTATTAATTATATTCCTGTTCTGATTCCTCCTGAAAAATGCCAAAATGAGAAATCTGCACAGGAAAGAGAACAGAAAAGGCAGAAAGGTGACATTAGAAGTGAAGAGGAGGAAGAGGAACAAGAGCGGAAAAGGAAAGAGAAGTAGGAACAAATGGAAAAAGTGAAGGCAGATCTGGAAAAGGAACAACAGAGGAGATGGAAGAGATGTGGTTAGTAAAGATAATGTTCTCATTTGAGAAGGAAATATTTGAATGGAATCATGACAGAACTATTGTAGTCTTTGCTTTTCTTTTGCAGGCCATGCACATGCATCCAAACCTATCAATGTTCCAGCATGAAGAAACATAAATAACAACAAAGCATCTTCTAGTATAACAGAAGACTAACAACACAGCGTGTGAAGGAGCCAGCAAACTGATCCAGCACTGCCAGGCAAATTCTAAACTAAAGTATAACATCACAGATCTTTTAATCTGAAATAGGTGCATAGCAGCATACTAGATTTTTCCTAAGTTTAGTATTGTGTGTATGTCTACCAACTTAACTTCATTTTTTCTAATACTTTCATCTAAATTCTGATTTTTCCAAGTGTCTGTCAATATGAAAAAAAAATCAGTATCAACAGTGATTCAAAGTCATTAAACAAATTCAGGTTTTCAACCAATTGCACCTAGCTTACAGTGAGTTCATGAAGATGATATTCCCCACTTTTCATAAAGCACTAAATCCCTTACTGAGCATTTTCCCTGACAGAAACCTCAGCATGGTTATAACTACTTGGTTATAAAGATCTCATAACAATGTAGATTATCCCTTAACTATACAAGCATTTGATAATACAAAAAAAAAAAAAAAAGCATTAATAGCACTTTTGCTCTTTACTACTGCTGATATAGCTTTAGGGGGAAAAAAAAAAAAACAAAACAAACCCCACAAAAAACCCTCCCACCAAATACTTGGGGCAAAGCTCCGGGAAACCTGTAAGTATATTGCACCACAAACCATAAAGCTCTGGTGCAATATAATTATCACATTTCTATTCACCCTTTGAAATGCTCTGCTTACACAAAATAATAAATTTGACACCATCTCGTTGCTTCGCTTCCATGTGATAATTTTTCATTGGAGCGGCATTTCCCGGGGAGAACAGCGACCTCCTCGGGTGGTCTCGAGGAGCTGCAGCCTACCTAGAAATGGCTGAACAGGCTGGAACACACCCAGGAAAACAGGCATCCCCAAGAACCTGATTAGTAGAAGTAGCATGTTTTAAGCAGATGGTTGAAAAGACATGACAAATCTGACTTACAAAACATTTTTCGAAATTAGTGCCATACCCTGCTTAACTTTCTTTCAGGAAAAGCAAATAGGTATTTAAGTCAAACTGCTGGACTGAGAACACCAAGATGCCTGGAAAACATCCTGACCATCATTCAGTGAAGCAGATGACCGTTTTTTGATTTTTTTCTTAACTTCCTATTCACAAAATAGGGAGAATATTTCTTTGCTTCATGAACCTCCTTTTCTTTTATTCTCTTTACTCTCAGTGGAACCTCTTGGAAAAATAGCCCATTTTACTGCCATTCTGTTTACATCTAAATCTCAGCCAAGGCATTCCACTGCCTCCTTGTTTGTTGTATAGCCTGGCTTCTCATTCGGGGTTTGTGTTCTTGTTACACAAATATGCATTCCAATTTTTTCTTCCAGCTCCTACTCTCTGAACTTTCCTATCTGTTCCAGTGCTCTCCTCTATCCCTTGCCTCCACACCTTTGTTTCATGTAAGCCATGTACCTGTATCCGTATTTCTTATGTCCTTCTCAAAGGCACATACGTGAAAGATATAATTCAGGCTTTAGCCCCCTTACAGATAGCATGAAAGAAAGTAGACAATATTTTTCTTTAATATTTATTTGCAGAACCAACCAGACATATGCTAAATATCACTAAGCAGCACCCATTCTCTCTTTATTCTCAGTTCTCTCCCCTTCACTTTGGCAATCTGCTTAGCTCCTTGGGCCAGCATCTGCTCTTCTGGCAAGAATGCTCAGCAAACCCAAGGTTGCTATAGCAATTAATAATCATTTACGTTTTAGTTTACAGAAACAGAAACTAAAAGAAGAGTGGAGGTGCCATGAGGAGGAGGTGGCAGCAAAGAAGTCATAATTAGAGAAAACAGCACAAGAACGTATTTGGCAGCAGCAGGATTATCACAGGAAGCTTCTGCAGTTCCAGAAGAAGCAACAGTTAGAGGAACATGGAGCAGCAGATGGTCTATAGAAAGGCTAATGCTTACTTTAGTTGCAGATAATTCTTCAGAATGGATGATTTCTGGTAAAGACATAGACAGCCTGCATGTGTCTGCCTTGAGATTCACATGACACTAAGTCCCACACTTACAGTACCTCAGCTGCTCCTCAGTTAAACAGGTATGGTAACAATAGTCCTCACTGCCACAGTTCCTGCAGCCTGAAAAAAGGAGAAATTCCACAGCCTAGCTATGGTGCAACCATGAAGATGCTAGCAATAACAATGTTTGTGCTACATCTCATCATTTCGTGATGCTTCCATTACATCTCTTCTCCGAAAACCCAACTCCCAGTATCCACACAGTTAAAAAAAGATATTCTATTTCTAACAAATAGTTGCAGAGAAACTTGAAACTTCTTGAAAACCTAGGTGCCAAGCAGATCTTAAAAAAATCCAATTACAATTTAAGAAAAAGTCATGTGAAACAATAGTAAATACTTGAAATGTCAATACTATAACAGTATTTTATTTTTATCTGAAACTGATGGAAAAATAGAGAGTATGTAAGCAGCTAAGAGTTGTTTGCGGTGTTTCTAAGAGGCACAAAAATGCAGAAAGAAGGAGCAATGTAGTTAGAGGAGGAATGCCAGCACCTGGGAGACATGGCAATAGAACACCTGGAATACGAAGGAAAAAACTGAGAAAAGACAAGACATAAGGCTGAGGAGAAAATGAAGAGGAAGATGCTAGACCAGCTCTAGAGGAAGTCAAAACACAAGCACAGCTTTTAATCAGGTATGTAGCTAATAATAAAAGTTAACTTTCTTTCCTCAGTAATAATAACACATCTTTACACCTTGTGCCAGCCTGTACAAAAATACTTCTGCAGTCAGGAGTTCTATCGGTGTAGTTACCATTGCAGAGCAGCATCAGTCCCTCAGGAGTTAGTTAAGCTGCCTTCAGTTCCAGCTCCAAGACACAATGCAGTTCTTCTGCTATTTAACCAGTTTTTCAGTATTTCCCCAAATTCCATCAGCAATTCACATGCATCTGTATTCTTTAACTATTTTAGAGTTTATAGCATCCATTTACATTACAGAAAGAAGCCCAGCAAGATTTCCTGCCCACCTGTAATTATGATTACCTTCACACGATCCATGGGTGCAGACTCCATAGTATGCTTCCAGAACTCATTCCTACCAGCACCTAGGAACACAGGAACTGGGAGGCTGCATAGCACATATTAAAACATTGGAAATAGCATAACAGGCCTTCTTAATGGAAACCTAAATCAATTTGTGAGCCACAGAGTGCTACCAGGGATAAAAGGCCAAGTAATAACTACAGCTGAGAAGCAATTACTACCTCCTACTTGCTCTGCTCATGCTGTAGTGACAGAAGGACATACTGGCCCACAAGAAGGTATTTACATAAGCCAACATTTTCTTCCTCAGCCGATTCCAAACCTTGCTCAAAGCCAACTCCTAGGGGAAGCCCAGGCTCCTGCCAAGGCTCAGAAGGCACCGTATGCACTGTGGCAAAGCCAAAGAAACTGCCAGTGCACAGCAATGAGCTGTGTAGGTGTCATCAAACCAATACACCAGCTTTCTAACAGCAGGAGGAATTCTGTCCTGTGTCCACAATTCTCTTTATTAACACTGTTTGCAGGCAAAGAACAAATCTGCAACCACCTCTGCAGTTCCAAGAAGCATGATTAATGGAAGCTATCAGACTTCTTCCTCATCCTCATTTGCTCATGTTCACCTGCCTAAAAAGGGTAGACCTGAAAACAGTATAAAACAGTAAATAAATGCTTGGTGCTAGGAATGGGCCATTGCATTGAGCTCTTTCAGTTGCAGTCAAATTCAACAATCCAACCTGGCTCAAGAGAGGAATAATGTTCCTTTTTGGCACAAGAGTTACTCAATCACAAATTTACTTTCCTAGACTGCAGCACTAGTCTGTGTATACATCCCACTGATAGAAAGTAAAAGGACTCGTGTTTGATCAGCCAGTAGAAATTAATCCAGATAGACCTCCTGAAGTGCCACAATAGATTCTTTGGTCTATTTTGTGTTAAGAGATGAAACAATGAAATAACCAGGTTACAAAAAGGTAGGAAGACCTCAGTGCTGACTTCTGGGGGAATCCTCCAAAACAATAAATTGCAATCAATGTACAACTGTAAGAAAAGGCTAATTGTGGGTTCAGCAATAAAATTACTACAGAGAAACTGTAGCAAGGTAAGAACTTTTCTTCCTTAAAAATCAGGTTATTATCATTTTTTTGGTTCTCCAATATTATCTAACAAAATGTTACATTTATAGATTCAATTTATATTGCAGTTCCTGTAGTTAACTCTTCCTGGGGAAAAGAGTAATCAATTTTTGCAGTCTCTAAATTGAAGCTGAACTTCATTAGGTATGCAGTAACTACTAGTTCTAAGAGCAAAACAAAACCCATTTATACCACTTCCAGCTTGCCCCATTCCTACAGGTCTCTGTATAGTGCCTCAAAAGTTGATCTTCTCATTTAAGAAAATTTACCTGAACAGCAAGAATTTAAATGTGCATACAGAAGATGTACAGCACAGGTCAACACAGATAGTTTAATACTGTATCCTTAAATATAATTTCCATTTAAATTAGGAAAAGCTAAAAACTAGTAAACAACTGTAGTGTTTCTAAAACAATACATGGCTAGTCAAAATTTGTGGCAGAATTCAAGTTTTAGCATTATCTGACACATTAACTGAAGTCCAAATCCTGCCAACATTTATGCATTTGGCTTCAAAAAAACCTCATATTGTCAAATTGATGATCATGTAGACA